ACTCCTCTTGGTGTACTAGTGTATTACAAAGTGATCTTCACAATTTAAGCATGAATTCAACAATAGTTATTCTCTACAATGGATGAGAACTCAATGTAAGCTCACACTCTAAGTCACAAACCCACAACCCAAAGTATACTATGAATGTAAATAAAATAAGCTCAATGGTTGTGTGTGAACAAAGAGATAAATCAAATTAAACTAAACTCAATTAAAATCTAGCTTATGAAAATTATGAACAAAACAATAAATAGCTAGAAATGGAGTTTAGAAAACTTTTCAATAGATCAAGAGAAAGAGGGAGAAGAGTTGGATGCTCAAACACCGATAAATGATCTTCCTCAAGCTCTTCAGAGAAAACAGCAGCATTAGATTGAGAGGGTGGGAATAAATTAAGAGATAATCCTTTCCCAGGTTTTCTATTATCTGAGAATAAGCTAGCAAATAATTTTTTTTGTTTCAGGTACATCACTCTTTCTGCTTAATTCCTGCTCATCTTTATCTGGTTCATCATTCACTTTTTCCTCCAGATTAATCTTCTCACGATTTATACTCTCTTTATTAGACTGAGCTACAAATGGAGTAGATACCTCAATATTACTATCAGCATCATCACCAGTTACATCAACTTCAGTTTCATATTCTTCTTCCACATCTTCAGCCCAAGAGATTGATTTACGACTCTTACTTAATCGTCGAACAAAGATTTGACCAGATCCGTGCTGAACATGAAGTGGATCTGAGAGAGAATTTGTCCTTGCCAGTATTTCCTCCATGAGCACCTTCTTTTTTGCCCCCATCGGACATGTACTCCCCATTAACTCCGGCGATGAAGCTCTCCTTGCTCCTACTGTTCCATTGTTTCCCTCGTCTTTTTCACTCTCCACTGCTTCCCCAGATCCCCTAGCCACTTGAGCAGGAGAAGAGGAAGGAAAGACGAAGATAGAATCCCTCAGTGTAGTACTAGAGATCCCTTTGCTGGCATTTTTCTTCTTCTTCTTCTTCATGGTAGATCCAGGTGGAGGCGCACAATAGCGGGAAAAATATCGCCCGCTAAAATGCACCTAACAAACCGCCCCAAAATGTATATACACAGATTTTTTTTACGCTAAAACTTAATTAACCAACAAATTGTTGCATATTAGATTTAATATAATAAATTGGTCAAATTAATGTATATATATACATATATATATATATATATATGAGAAAACTGCAGGAGCGCTGGGCAGCTCTTCTGAGCGTGCGCTGTAGGGATGTTTTTGAAAAATTTCATCGCCATTTAAAACCGCTGAGCCAGCTCACAGATCCCTCTCTCTCTCCCCAAAAGAACACAGCTCCCCCCAAATCAAATCTCCCCCAAATCTCAGATCGACGAAATTCTGGCCAGCGACGAAGACTTTAAAAGAGCCCCAAATCTCCCCCCAAATCGCACCATTTCATCCCACCATTTCGTCGATCTCTCTCAGATCCCCGACATTCGAAGACTAAAAGAGCCGCCACGATTCCTCTCCGCTCCCTCTCCGTCGCGGGTGACCCCAGACCTAGCAGCGCCGCCACGATTCCCTACAGCGCTCCCTCTCCGTCGCGGGTAATTTCTGACCTAGCAGCGCACCGAAGAGCCGCCACGATTCCTCTCCGCTCCCTCTTCATCGCGGGTAATTTCTCTTCCTTTTTTTTTCTTGCCCTTTTTACTTTGAATTTTGATCGGATTTGGCCAGAATATTCTTTGAATTCAAAAACTTCGTCGCTGGTCATTACAGTAACTATCAACGTTAAGGCTGTAATCAATTAAATAAAAGCTCACTAAGATCCTTCCAAGCACTTGTATTAGTAATTCCAAACACTTGTACTTGCACCTCAATCAGCAGCATCTGACGAGCATTTTACTTGCATTTTCCCACAGTGGAGTCTTTTAGAGGCAGAAACTCAAGTGTGATGTCCTGTATATTATGCATACAACTCTAGATTAATTTGGACTTAAGTTAGGGGCCAGTTAAGCATTAAAGCTCATGAAGTAGGCCACAGGGGGCACCCTGATCCCTCACATGGTCAAACAAATAATAGTTGTTGCTTTGTTGGTCCAGACTCCAGACTATATCAGCAATCATCCTAAAGTGAATTATGAAATCAATAAGTTGATGCAAAGATCCAACTACAATCACAAGTGTCTGTGCTGCTAAAATCTTCAAAAATTTTGTAAGGCTAACAGCTCATGAATATAAACAAAGAAGCTGACTCACAAAGACAAGCATTGGAGAGGCAATAGCCACCTGTATATATCAATATTCACTTGTCTTTTATTGCAGGTGATATAATGGCAAGAAAGAATTTTTATGTTGTAAAGAGAGGTCGACGTTGTGGCATTTTTTATAATTGGGAGGAATGCAAATCTCAAGTTGATAGATTCCCAAATGCCGCCTACAAAGGGTATGCAACGTATGTAGAGGCTTTGAGTGAATGGGAGAATCACTTAAGCGAACGTGATTCAGCATCCAGCTCAAGGCATGTGCAGCCACATGGTTGTGTTCAAGAACAAATGTTTCCAGAGGGGCATAACCTTCTTGAGGACAAGGGAAAACATGGGGAAACTGCTATTTCCTCCTTATATGCTTTTGTATTAGGTTCAGTGTTTACAATTTTAATATTTCTAGTATTTATCGTTGCAGTATTTGTTGGTTACTCTATTAGGGGAAACATGTGATGTGATGCGTGTATGATTCTTCAATGTACTTAATTTGATGGGTTGTGGTCAGATTGTGCATGATTTTGAACTTAATTGGATGTCGAAATTGGATATGGTTGCTATTCCTTATTTTCATATGTGTTAGATGATCTCTGAATGCTTGGTTTGGATTTTGATGCAATGCTTGGTTGCTAGATATAGCTATGTGCCTAAAATTAGATAAGTATGTGCTTACAGGTGGCAATTGTTGTAGCACATGAATTGTACCGCCAATGGTTTGGCAATCTTGTGACAATGGAATGGTGGACACATTTATGGCTTAATGAGGGTTTTGCAACATGGGTAATCATTTGATATGTTATTATCATTTATCTGAGGGTTTTGCAACAACTGACTGGGTGAGTGATCAAGTCTGCTTTGCTTACAAACCGAAGTGATGGTTGTTTTTTGTCCCTGCTGCTCAGCATGAAGAGGAAGCATAATTTGTTTGTATAATAATTTGTTTTTTGGCAATCTTGTGACAATGGAATGGTGGACGCATTTTTTTACGATGCTGCTCAGTCTTCATTGCAAATGATGGCCGTAAATGGTACATAAATGGGAATCTCCCATCTCCAACAATGTACAAAGTTGATATACTATAATGAAATCTTCGATGAGACTTGTCTAACAATCATGCATTATTACTAGGTTGGCTTCACAGATTGTCTTATTTTAGGGAGTTCTCCCAGCACCATTTTGTCAACCTGCTTTTTTCTGGCAAACACAATCCATCTTGAGATTAAATATATAATAAAGAAAAGGACAATATGCTTCATAGATACATAAGCTTCATAATAGTAGCATACAAATTACAAACCACAAGGAGCTCGAATATTGTTCAACAACTACTGCAACATTTTCACCGGAAATACTTCTTCAAGAATCTTCTTGAAAACAACACACAACAAGTGAAATATTACAAGAAATAATCATCTTCGTCATGCAGTAACTTTTGGCTGCCCTCAGTGTGCCAACTAATGCTTCAAAGATGTTCGCACACCTATCATCATTGAAAAGCACCCCGAATTTTACCTGTAGATGAAACAATCAACCACATCATCAGATATTGTGCATGATATAGGACAAATTCAAACTTGAAAAAAACTAAACATATAAGAAATTATTACTATTGTTCTGTTTTTTACTGCTGAAACTATATGTATCAGTATAATGATGAACTTATTTCATTAGAGGCAGCGTTAGAATAGATCCTCCTTACCCCTTCTTTCTTACAATTTAACAAAGCTTAACCTTATAGCAAATATCCTTTGTCAATGATATGACTAATTAGTATTTGGTGTCATCATGAGGGGTAAGGCTACTGTCTGGATGTTGTACTGTAGTACTTAATTGGATGTCTATATGAAACATGCAGTTACTTGACTTATCTACCAATTAATTTGTTTTCATTTTCTTCTTGCATACATAATCGTGCTTCATGTTCTTTATTCATTTCTATCTATTTCAGTTGCAAGAATAGTAGCAGAAATTGTTTTGTGCTATCGATTTTTTAATTACTTTATGAAATTCACAAAAAAGCTACATATGAAAAATAAAGTAATTGTACCTTGGCAAGTTGACTTTACAGCTAGTTCTATAATGCCCGAGTTCACCACATCTGCTACATATACGCTTCTTCCTCTCTTTATTTTGTTGTGCTTGTTCCAAACCTGACTGAATTCTAGTAGCATTGCGTGGACGACCTTTAGTCCTTGTAGATTTTTCAGGATCACGAACTGTAATCTGAGGAATATGCTCAATTGTATGTGAAATGGGTGCAAAAATCTGAGGAATATCTTCTGTGCCTCTAACTTCTTCTTCAAATGATTCTATGAATTTTGTTAACACATTGTCTAATTTCTGCATCCTCTCTTCTGAATCAAATGCAAGCTCGAGCGCATTATTGAATTTTGCTCTTAAAGCCCAAGATTTCAACAAATTAATCTTCTCTTCACAGCTTGTGATGTTTCTTCCAAATACAATATTGCCAACCCCAATGTTACGATGTCGAGCATGTATAGTCCAACGGTGTAGGATGTAATGGTCGGGTAATGAAGAAATTTGACTAGCCATCATTAGCGACAATATATGTCTACATACAACACCATTAGTTTCAAACAAAGCACAAGTACAAATAAATTGTATCTTACTGGATTGGTCATAAGTAACCACCTCCCCTTTTGATTTATCTGCAAACTTACAAAACTTGTATTCAACAATGTCCCCATCTTTTCTCAATTCTTCACAAAACTCTGTTGCAAATCCTTTGAATTCAGTTTGGAACATCAAACATTGTGCGGGTATACATTTCTCCAGCTTGTACCTCAATCGGATGTCCAAGGAGCATGATAGGTTTTGTGTTAAGACTCTTAAAATCTTCATGGGCTTCACTTAAACGACGATGAGTTAATGCTTTTTCATATTGTAGAACAAACTCGTGTAATTGAGTCTGTGAGTTAACACACCCATCAAAAAATGCATTTATACTTTCACTTCTTTGGCTCGATCTCATTCCAGCAAAAAAAGTATCCTTCAAATAACATGACACCCAATGTTCTCGATATTTATAAACAGTTTGCAACCATCCATCCTCTTCTTCATTTATATCAAACTTCTCATTCATCTCTAGCCAATATCCTTCACACTGCAACCATCCATCCTCTTCTTCATTTATATCAAACTTCTCATTCATCTCTAGCCAATATCCTTCACACTGTTCTATTGAAGAACTATTACACCATAAGCCCCAATACCTTTGAAACTGTTCATCATAACGAGAAACCAAAGTAGCCAAATGATCAGTAATATGCTTTTGCATGTGCCAAAAGCAATAACGATGTCTTGTCATTGGAAACACAGAGTGAATAGCATTGCACATGGCTCTATCCTGATCTGTTATAATAGCACATGGTTCAACCCCATGCATGCATTTCAGCCATTCTTGAAATAACCAGACAAATGTATCTTCTTGTTCATCAGCTAATAATGCACAACCAAGTAAAGTGGATTCTTGAAATAACCAGACAAATGTATCTTCTTGTTCATCAGCTAATAATGCACAACCAAGTAAAGTGGATTGTCTATGATGATTCACACCAGTAAATGGAGCAAATGGAAGACTGAACTTATTAGTTCTGTATGTCACATCAAACACCACAACATCACTGAATTGTAAATAAGACGCCCTTGATCTTCCGTCAGCCCAGAAAACACTCCTCATTTGTCCACTACTATCCACCTCTATTGCAAAATAGAATTCTGGATCATTCGCTGTCATACTCTGAAAATGTCGAATGATAGATATGCATTCATGGCCAATATTGTTGACTCTCTGGTATCTGATGTGATCAATACACTGTTGTGGTGTCACTAATTCGCCTTCTCTTCCATTGGTTGCATTAATGACGCGAGAAATAGTGGATGGAGGCATACCTTCTTCTTGCAGACTCTCAATAAGTTTTTTACAACTTTGAGATTTATGGAATTGTTGGTGTGATCTGTGCATCTTTGCTTTGTCTGGACTACTCAACACATGATTTGTATGTTCTTCAACAAACCCCGTGACCTCCCACGATTTGTCCTCCAATACTTTAACTCTCATCATTGCCTTACATCCCACTCGGGTCTCTCGCCGAAAAGGCATCTCCATCTTGTCTCTATTAGATCTATAGCCCTCCTTATCACAAACAAACTTTCTGTCTAACACGTCTCTTGTCTTCTTCGAGTAATTTACCGTGCTCTTCCTTATTCCAAAACCCATCAACAATGCGTAATGGTTATAATAGTTATAAGCTTCTTCATAAGTACTAAACTTCATTCCGAGTAGTGGCTTAGGAGCATTTTCTGTATTGATAGGAATTTCAAGTTCAATTCCACTAGCACTTGATTCTCCCATTTCGAACACTTTATTTGCTGTACAAGAAATGCAAAGAAGAAAAAATTGATATTTTGCCATAAGCGTAATAACACAGCATGGATTATATATTGCTGAGATTATAAGGCGAGGAGAAAAGGCACATAAATCTCTAGAAAATTTGTGCTAATTAGAGAGAACTTTGTTTCTTAAATCATATAGCCATCCAATTTTACTAATTAGATGGTTAATGTAATTTTGTAGTTAACACCATATCCCCTATGAATTGTGCTAATTTCCACTTGACAAATCATATATAACTGTCCATTAAATGATAGATTTGAAAATTTGTTCTCTCTGTAAACTCTGCAGATATTTTCTTGCAGTTCAATAAAAACAAATCAACAATATTTATTAGTTTAGTCTTCCAATGCTTGGAAGATTTACCCATTAACTCCACAATTTTGAGGATAAACTCATTCCTATCAAGAATAATTTTCTGTCATTAAAGTTGTCAAGTCACTTCTTTCTTTTACAATTATGTTATGTTTTCCCCTGATTTTTCAAATTAAATCCCTGGAATTCCTTGGTTGCAAAAAATACTGTATTATGCTCTGAAAATTCTCCAGAATATTAAACAGTAACTAAAGCCAACAAATAAAGAAATCTGTAATGACCAGCGACGAAGTTTTTGAATTCAAAGAATATTCTGGCCAAATCCGATCAAAATTCAAAGTAAAAAGGGCAAGAAAAAAAAGGAAGAGAAATTACCGGGCTCGTAGAGAGATCGAGAGGATTCGTGGTCCAAGACTGGGGCTCATTGATCGGGTGCTGGGCAGCGCTTGGGGGCTGCGGAGCTCGTCGTAGAGAGATCGAGCTCGTCGTAGAGAGATCGAGAGGATTCGTGGTCCAAGACTGGGAATCGTGGTGAGAACTGGAGCTCGTGGCGGTGCGCTGCTCGGTCGGTGGCGGTGGTGGATGTATATATATATATATATATAAGTTATAATGCATGTGCACGGACCTTAGTGAACATGAACAGCTAAAGACATGAAGCCATTAGCTTGTAATCTACAAGCATACTACACCTATAAAGATGTATCAAATGTGACCTTGTACTCGTAAAGATGACTAAACTTTTATACATATAATTTGTTGCTCTTGTCACTATAGCGTAGCACGGACCTTAGTGAACATGAACAGCTAAAGACATGAAGCCATTAGCTTGTAATCTACAAGCATACTACACCTATAAAGATGTATCAAATGTGACCTTGTACTCGTAAAGATGACTAAACTTTTATACATATAATTTGTTGCTCTTGTCACTATAGCGTAACCTACCAAAGATAGGTAGCTTTTATCCACCAATATTCTGATGTAATTTTCTTCAAAGAAGTACTGTTGTGGACCACCCAACTATATTGATTAACATCTGAAAAAACCCTAGTTTGGTGCATGATTTTTATTTATAGATGTAGGTTTTAAATGCCTCCACATGGTTCATTTCTCTTTGCAACTCTGAAAATAGTACCTCCTATGATTAGAAATCCTAAATTCAACTTCATGAGTGAGGGTGACCTCAATCCGTTACAATGATGCGTTTATGATTTCATAAGTTTGAAGAAATACATATGGAGGTTTAAGCAACCAAAATCCAATGTCCATTAGAATGAGGCATTTATGATTTTTTTTAATCTTGATTTCATAAGTTTGAAGAAATGTGAAAGTTTAAGCAACCAAAATGTCTATGTTTTTCTATGGATGTTTTTTATTTTTTTTTAAGAGTTTAGGAAGATCGCCAAAACTTACAGTTCTAGGGAATCAATTTGTGATAAAGGCTGTAGTGAAAGATGTTCTTATTTGCTACGTTATATAGTTATATATTTGAGTTTAGATAAAATTAATGTCTAGAATTAAGACAAATTTAGAAGGAAAAATAAATTGGGTTTAAATTGCAGCGAGCTAAAATTTCCTATATCTCGACTACATTCATGAAGGAAACGATGGATAGTTATGTTCTTGATTATGACTTATTAATTCTTTGCATATTAATTAAACAAGTCTAACAGTGTAAGCAACCAAAAAATTGATTCCTGCGTTTTTTCCTCTCGATATATAATTTTAGTAAATAGTCCAATCACATCTAGGATTTGTTAGAAATATCAAGGCTCAAAGCTTAAATTGAACGGAAGATGTTCGAAAATATATATGTGCAAAGTACTGCTGGCATTTTGTGAAAAAACATCCCTTGAGAAGACGTAGAGGTGATCAATTAATGGAATTGGCTTATATGTTGACCTAATTTAGCTGACAACTATATTTTAGTAAGAAGAGTTTGAAAAATGAAAATTATTTTTCTTAATTTTAGTATGCTAATTAAATATTCCAGATGACAATTAATTTTCATTTAATTATATATCGTTCAATAATTATCCTTGTAAGCAAATAACAGTGCTTTGCAAGTATGAAAAATCAAGCATCCTAGACGGAATTTTCCGTCTAGGATAGCTTGATTTCCATCTAGCTAGGATAGTTATTCTTGACGGAATACCGTCTAGAATAATAGTCTAGTTTGTTTCTGTCGAGAATACATCATCCTAGACGGAATTTCCATCTAGGATAGTATCCTAGACGAAAATGTATCCTAGACGAAATGAAATACCATCTAGAATAGTTCTTGACGGAAAAAACAACCGTCTAGGACTATCCTAGACGGAATTTTTCGTCTAAAAAAATCAAAATTCCGTCTAGGATAATTATCCTAGACGGAATCCGTCTAGGATACGCGTCTAGGAAGTTTATGTCTAAGATATAGTATTCTAGACGGAAATTCTATCTATAATACATAATAGACGGAAATTTCTAGACCGAATTCAAAACCACCTAGGATTATCCTAGACGGATCATCCGAGACGGAATTTTCGTCTAGGATGAGTATCCTAGACGGATATTCCGTCTAGGATATTTTTTATAAGTCAGCGCCTAACACACGTTGCTGGGTAGTCTATTCCCGTAAGAGAGACGAAGTCTACGTATTCAACATCGTAGCACTAAGAGAGTTAACTCCTTTAGCACAACGTCACATGCGGAACGGACTTAAACAATCCGCATGCAAGCCCGATTCAAACGGTAATCGGTAAAGACACGTCAAACCCGTTGATGGCTGAGGATTTGCCAAAAATCCTGAGTCTGCATCTGATACATGCGGCCGGGTAGTCTATTCCCATGAGAAAGACGAAGTCTATGTATTCAATATCGTAGCACTAAGAGCGTTAAAGTCTATGTATTCAATATCGTAGCACTAAGAGCGTTAACTCTCTTAGCACAACGTTACATGCGGAACGGACTTATACAATCCGTATGCTAGCCCGATTCAAACGGTAGTCGGTAAAGGCTCATCAAATCCGTTGATGGCTGAGGGTTTACCAAAAATCCTATAAGTGTGAAAGTCATTGACACACCAGCTTTATTAACTGGTCTCGTGACTCGAGCATCCAACAACTTCGGGATAAGATCCATATCTGCAGACGAATCAGCTTTAACAGTTGGTCATGTAGCCCTAACTGTTGGGACCGCCATGCTCCAATACCTTAAGAGCTTAAACTGTGTATACTCTAACAAACGTATGAGTATAAACTGTGTCAACGTCGGGCGATCCGAAACCCTATGTCAACGCTAGTCAATGTGTAACCCTAGGTCAACACCAGTCAACACGTTGCGATAAAAAAGTCAACGCCAGGCGATTCGAAACCCTAGGTCAACGTTGGTCAACGCGTAACCCTAGGTTAATGGCAGTCAACACGTTGCAATGAAAAAGTCAACACCGGGCGATTCAAAACCCTAGGTCAATGCCGGTCAACGCGTAACCCTAGGTCAATGCCAACCAACGCGTTACGATAAAAAAGTCAACGCCGGGCGTTTCAAAACCCTAGGTCAACATCGGTCAACGAGTAATCCTAGGTCAATGCTAGTCAACGCATTGTAATAAAAGGTCAACGCCAGCCAATGCGTTACTATGAAAGTCAATGCGAATCAATATATCGTGATGGAGATAGTCAGTACAAAGTCAACTCAACGATACGAGCCAAAATTAACTCACCAGTTTTGATTCAAGATTTCGACGACAGCCAAACGATAAACGCAGCACCAGGAGAACTTCGGCTATTCGTCAAAATATAAAATAGATCGAAAATCGAAGGAGTCAAGAATCAAAGCTAACAACAGGTCCTTTTATACCGACTGAAAGTTGGACCGATCATATCCAAAGTATTTCAGGCTCATCTATAAAAGGAACGAGACTGAAACACTTTGGATGGGGTATCTGTAGGCGTCCAAAATTGCCTATAGGTCCCCGCACATGGCTCGAGAAAGAGAGAAGACGATGAATGTCACTATCCAAGTCACAGGAGCTCATTTGATGATGACGAACACATGAAGTGAGTCGACGAACCATACGAAGCAACGAAACTTCGGAATAACGGGAATAAGACCTGATCGGGAGCCCCGCGTTGTTTACGAAAGGCGGAGCACCCCTCGCATCCCATTTACTCCACATATAATTCAATCATGGGAGCGTGTAGATCTCCTTGCTGGCTTTCCAACGCATATTGAACTATGTAATTCCGAGTCCGAACGACAAATTTACGGTGGAAACAAACTCGACGAATCAAAACCAAAAAAAACCAAATTGAGACACCTCATGGTGTCTCGGCCTGGCCAAGACACTTGTAAATAAACTCATTCCTATCAAGAATAATTTTCTGTCATTAAAGTTGTCAAGTCACTTCTTTCTTTTACAATTTTGTTATGTTTTCCCCTGATTTTTCAAATTAAATCCCTGGAATTCCTTGGTTGCAAAAAATACTGTATTATGCTCTGAAAATACTCCAGAATATTAAACAGTAACTAAAGCCAACAAATAAAGAAATCTGTAATGACCAGCGACGAAGTTTTTGTCTCGGCCAAGCCGAGACACTCTCAAGTGTTTTGGCTTGGCCAAGACACTCAAAAGTGTCCCTAATACATCAGAAGTATCTCCA